ATTTAAAATATAAAAAATAAAAAAGTAAATTAACATTATCTTTAAAGGCCAACTAGTCTTAAATTTGTAATAAAGCTACATATTATTGACTAATTATTTCAGACGTTGAAATTCATAGTATTATCTGACATGTTGATATTCTATATTAGCTCTAAAATTGCATGTTTACATTGGGACTGGCCCTCAAATACTGACAGGTAGGAGAATCACACACGATACATGTGATAAAGACTCCATTCTCCTACCCCCTTCCCAAATGAATTATATCCAGATAGGATCAGGCACATGAGTTTAAATAATTTTACTGCTAATAATTGATATCTAGTACCTTAAAAACTGAAGGATTATTTCTTCAACAATGGTCATAAATGTTGGCTCTCAGGCTGAGCTACGTCATCTTTTTACTTGTCCTCCTCTTTTCTTTCTCTGCGAAGCTTTCTCCTGCTCTAACAAGCACACTATTTACACTTTAAATAGCAAACCACTAGGTGCGACCTCATGCTCCTTCCTCCTTCCTGTTAGCTGCCCAGCACGTAGTTTTGGTTGGATATAGACTTCAACAAATGTGTATTGTTGAGACACATTCTATGCGAAAAATATTAACAAAGGGAGGTAACGAAAAAGTTTCTTAATTATTCAGTGGGCACCTACTTCTCTCTAAATTGTTCAAATATTCAAATGAGTCATTTCCTTGAGCAGTATATTTAAAGGCACCACTAAAGACTTTTAAAAGCATTAGCAATATCCATGCCAGAGAGGGGATAATAGTTATGATTACGTAAATAATAAGTGTGAGAACACATGTGAAAGCCAGTGTGCATATGAATGATGAAATGTTTAAATAGGGTCTCTCATATATGAGGAGGCATCAGAACCTCCCAGTGAGCTGAGCCCAACTCTCAGAGCGTCTGAGGCTGCCTCCCTCTGAAAGGACCTTGAATTTCTGATAACTTCCAGGCAGCACTGAGGCCCCTGATCTGTGGAACACGCATTTATAAAATGTGCTGTATAGAAACAGCAAATTTTTGAACTAGAACAAGTGACCAAAGGCACGCTGGCACATCAATGTTAGTATAAGGTTTCAGGATGCCTATAGCTGCGGAATTCTGCTCATCACCACCACGTCAGGGAGTTCCCCAAAAGCCTGGATTTTAGAAACAGGTAGGACTGACTGACTACTCAAGGAAAGTGAGGCTGCTGTGGTTTGTGGAGCATAGTTTTGTGCATGTTCATTCTACCTGCGCCCTGAAGAGTGTTCTTTATCTACACAGAACCACAGGTAACATTTTGAAAACAAGTACAGGAAAGGTGAATCCAAGAGGGGGGCCAACAGGCCAAACCACACAGAAATTTCTAGAAAGATGTGATTAGGGTCATCTCATCGTGGATGGTGGGTGGGAGGGAAACCATTTCAACCACTCCTGTGCATATATATGCATCATGTCCTGACATCCAACCAGTGTCGTGTTTAGGGTGAAAGTCCACATGCCCATGCTCTAAATCTTCCTAGACTGGACACAATAACTAATACAATGTAAGTGCTTTGTAGTTACATTGTTTAGAGAGTAATGACAAGAAAAGTTCCATACATGTTCGGTATGAAAGTGTTTTTTAATATGTCCAGCCAGTCATTAATTACATATATTGAAGGAAACCCATGGCTATGAAGGACCAACTGTGCCCAGTGGCATTTTTTTGCTAGTATTGACTGTCTGACCTTATATAACCGACTATCCTCCTCTACCTTGTACCATTATTAACTTTTTGTACTTCATAGCCAAAATTAAATTTGTATCTGTTTAATGACTATGCTGTTTACTCAAATTATGAACTTAACCCAGTTAGCTCTCTGGTGAATTATGTAGCTTCTTACATGAAATATGCCATTTTGAACAACAGTTATTGAAGATGAAAAAAATCGTTAAAAATTTCTGATGAGGATTTTGTCTTCCAGTTGTTTTGTTTGTTTGTTTGTTTGTTTTCTCCCACTTAGACAACTGGAAGACAAAATCCTCAACTGCCAAGTGCTTGCTTAGGAGCTGTGAGGATGCCCTAATCAAGCTTTCTAGTGGGGTGATTGGGTCTTCTGGGACCTTTACTCAGGTTTGGGTAATGCCAGCCATTTTAGATTGGTTCTGTTTATACCTTCCCACTGGTCTCAGGCAGAAAAACTTCATGTTGCCTTGTCTTCCCCCAGCTCTGCAGGTGGAACTTGTTATCCTTTTGAGATATTTTTATTTTGTGAGACTATTTGTAATAAAACAGCATATTTCTATAAAAATATCTGATCAATTTATTTTCAGAACCGTTTTATTCTTGTTAGCCCATTAAAGAGGTCATGTTATTTCCCACATTTTTAAACTATTTTTTGCAAAGTTTGTTCCTGCTCTCCCTCTGATTCCTGTGTTGCTTAGGAAATAGCCTCCTTGTAGAAATGCTAAGAAAGCATTTCTCCATTATGATGACATTTGGCAGATCCTCCATGGAAACCATGTTTTTCCCTCCTTATGTATTAATCTTCTCATGTGGGAAAAGGAAAAAGAGACAGGAAGGAGAATAACAGGCGTAGGTTTCGGGTATCCTATTGTGGAAGAAACCATCTCAGCATTGCTTGGTGGCAATGTGCGACCAAGATTGTGCACCTTATCCTTTGGGCTGTGAGCATAACTTCACCTGCTTCTAGTGAGTATGTAGAAGAAAGCATGCTTCAGTAGAGCGTCTGCTGTGGGCATGCGTGCACTCCATGTTCAGGCACGTGCTCTGAATTCACCCTATAGGAGACCCCCTACTGGAAAGTTACCTCTCTCACTTTGTATTCTTGTATTTAAATCATTCCTATCTTTAAGCATGTAAGATAGTGTCTATCCTAAACAGGATTTTTCGGAAAACATCAAGATTAAAACCTCGAAATCCAGGGTTCTAGTCTCACATCCAGTGTTTAGTAGTTCACACCCTGTGCCTACATTATACATCAGTAGACAGGAGCTGAGGCTTTGCTTTTCTACATAGTGTTTTAGTTGAAGCAGAATGCTACCATATACATAAGCACACTTCTAAAATTTGAGGCTCTGTATGAATTGGCAGCTCCTAACTCATGTTCTTTACTAACAAAATTGCCTTCTTACTTGCTGTAACATTTGCTTTCCTCCTTTACCAATCATACTTCTCAGCAAAGTTGTCATAGCCAAAGTTTAGAACTCCTGTAGGTGCTGCTGTTAGGCGGTCTCAACATCAGCTGTTTAATCAACCAGAATCTAGCCATAGGATAGCTCAGTGGTAGAGTTCTTGCCTACATGCATGAGGTCCCAGGTTCAATCCTCACCACTACCAAAAATAAGCAATTGACGTGCCAAAAGAACCTAAAACAAACATGAAAATCCTCAGTCCTTATTTGGTGCAATGTATTCTAAACAATTATTTTGAGAAATGTTTTGTTCAAATAAAATCCAATGTAGAAACCCAACTGTGGAACAGATGAAGGCAAGAATCCCTGTGACATAGGCAGCATTCTGTGGCGCTTGCATGCACTTTTCGAGACTTCGCTTGTCCTTCAGGACCCATTTAATACTGTTCTTAAGGCTCACAAGTGAGGTGTGTGCGTTGATGTTAATGAGACAGAGATAGCATCATGGCCCCAAATTTGCAGCTGAACAAGTATACAGCATTGTTTATGAAGATTTCCTTTGAATTAGTGCCGCCACCAGAACTGTGGTCTTTTGATGAACTTACTTTTTATTTTCCTGATAAAAGCACCTTGGAATACCTGACTTCTGATGATCGCATGTAAACTGGCCATGGCATTACCATGGTGTAGAAAAGCTCTGGGGTAAAAATGGGAGGAGAAGTGGAAAAGGCAGGCTGTAAGTTCAGGAAGCTGAGGTAGAAGGGATTCAGCATCTAATACAGCTAGCCTATAATTGGCATGTGAGAACTGAATTTCTTCTTGAAACGACTGTAACTGGGGTAAACACTTAACAACAGAAATGGTAATTCTCTAGCACCTCTTGATACTGAATCTAACAAAACAGGTTCACTGTTATGCTCTTTCTATAGATTGCTTTAAGTGCCATTCAGTTTTTCTTAAATCATGTGGATGTTTTAGTAAATTGGCTAGTTTAAAAATTTTTTATTTTTTTCACTGGCCTGAATATTGTGACTTAGATTTGAGCATATTAGAAATTACTAAAATGAGTGTTCCTATACCAGAATGAGGAAAAATTCAGAAGCATACCAATGTAGATCACATTTTAACTTAAAAATAATTGTAAATATTTGTGATGCAAGTTTAAAACAAAGGCAATGTTTCAGGTGAACACATTGTTTAGTTTTGTGTTCTGTGGTCCCTGAAATCATTCTCTAGGAGGCTGGAAAGATGGCTCAGTGGTTAAGAGCACATTGTCAGCTCTTCCAAAGGATCTGGGTTTAATTCCCAGCACCCACATGGCAGCTCACAATTGCCTGTAAATTGTAAATTGTAAATTCCAAGGGATCTGACACCTTCACACTAATGCACATAAAATAAAATTTAAACAAAATTATTCTTTAGAAAATCACTTATCCCTTAAGATAATAAGACAATTCTAAAATTCTCTAATTTACAACTAACCTTTCAGCTAAAAGTCATTTGCAAAATCCATTTTAATATAGAAAAATAACTCCTACAAGTTAAAACATTAAAAATTAAATAGAACAGTATAGCTGTGGTCTCATTGACTTTGGACACATTTGACAGGCATAGCTTTATCTCTTAATTTGAGGAGACTAGAAGTTGTAGTGCTTGAGCACTTTTCTAACATAAATACATCACAAGATGATAATTCCAAATCATGTTAATAATTTTATGATTAATGCATAATACCCCATAAATTATTGTTTTTCTTTTAACAACAATAGTTGACTAACTTTTGTTCCTTGAAAAATTATACCAGGAGAAAGAACAAGGCCACTGAGAGCTTTCAGTTTAAAACATGAGGAGCTAACTTACTTTTTCTTTGCCAAAGTTTCAGACCCAAAGTTTACGTCTATCAGACCAGCACAGGAAATCACATCTGTGGAGAGGAATCGTCAGCATCACCTTGATTGAGGGCCGAGACCTCAAAGCAATGGATTCCAATGGGTTGAGTGATCCCTACGTGAAGTTCCGGCTCGGCCATCAAAAGTACAAGAGCAAGGTAGGTCTCCATCCATTTGTGCTCCCGTCACTGTTGGGAAGGCTCTGACCGGCTGGCACCCAGGCTTTTGGAGATGGGAACGCTGGATGCCTTTTGAAATACGAACTTTGGAATATCGTATCCAGAAACAAAGCTGGCAGTCTGTGCACCAGCTTTGAGTGAGCCACTATGCTGTTTGGCCTCAGTGTCTTCATCTGCTACACAGGAACCAGCTCTCAGCACATTTTTGAGATTTAAGAGAGAGAGAAAAAAAAAAGCAATATCCCAGAAGAGCATAGCACACCCCTGCATAGACAGTACTGAGGGCATTGGCTGGTGACTGCTGCCAGCACTGATCCGTGCGTTATTTTGCCTGCAGTGAAAGTCTTTCAAATTACTCTGAATCATTTTATCCAATCTGGCTTTGAGAAGTTTTTAATTTTTTTTTTTTTGCATTTTATTTAATTGAATAGTAACTTTTAAATTTTGCATCATATTTGTATAAAATGTATTACAATTACAATTCACTTCTCTTCTTTCTTCCCTCCCACTCCTGCCAACCATTTTGTTCTTTCCAATTTGACCCTCTCCTATGATATGTTCATGATTAGAATGTCCATGCCACATCCAGAGCATTTAAAATGTATTTAGGAAACAAAGGGTCAAACCCCTGCGGTTGCTTTGAGTCATGCGCAATAGCACAGCTTTCTTAGTCTTTCTGTGTGTCAATTTTGCTTATTGCAGAAATAGAACTAGAAAATGCCTGCCTAAGCAAGTTATAGAAGAGATTAAATTAATGCACGTTAGACACATAAAGGGCTTACACTACCGCTGTGATTGTAAGTACCTAGTAAATGCTAAAAGCAGAGGGAAAAAGATCAGTGGCAGTGGTAATATTTGTGGAGTAACACTTTTATTCTTAGTAGATGTTATGCAGTAGCAGTAGCATGTTGTTTATACGGTAATGGTAATGCCAGAGACTTGCTGTCCACAGTTACATCTTGCTATGTCCAGTTACAACGGCTTTCGGTGCTTACAGCCACAGATCACTTGGGACGTGCACTCCCATCCACTCTGTGTTACAAAAGGTCACGTCCCATTTTGGTAAAAGTTGTTGGCCCTGTCGAGTCCCCCTCTACTGCAGCAGGTCTCCATCCACACTGAAGGTAATCAAAATACGACAGCCTGACTCAGCAACAGAAAGTGGGTACTGCTGCCAGCCTGGTTGCACCCTTGCAGAGGCCCACATGGGAGATTCGGACATAACTTTTAGCTGGAAGAAAGTTTTATGGGATAGACAATCCTAATATCAAACACTGAGAAGTTAGTCTGTTGATGAGCAGATTACAAAAAGATGGACTACATTCCAAAATGCCATAGGAGTTCATCTAAGCTGAAGAGGACATTTGAATTTTCCATCTAGTTTCATCTATATTTTTCACCAAGAGCTTAAGAATTTAAAACAGCTACTTTTTCTAAAAATAGGCATCTATGACCACTTCTGTCTCTTCTCAGGTAACACAATTTGCATGTTTTATAGTTCTGCTCTTTAGATATGAAATATGAACCCTACTATGGACATGTGTCTCTATTTGATCTTTCTGTCCATGATGAATTGCAGATTAATTTCAGATTATGAACTTTAAAGTTGTGGTTCATTTGCATTACCTTTGCATAGCACATACATCATTGCTTTCAAACTCTTCACCTCTAAGGATCTGTCTGTCATACATTAAAAAAAAAGAGAAAAGGCCACTACATATGATCTGCAAAAAAGAGAGAGAGAGAGAATGCCAAAAGAAACAAATGTGAGTATGGCCTAACCAAATGCTAAATGGAATTTTATAGCACTTTAATATTGGTAACTTTGTTGATTTACAGGGTTTCATCTCTGAATACTTGAAATCACAAAATTGCAGTCTAGACATCCTTGTTGTTTATGCAACACAAGGATCACACACAGGTTTCCCCGTGTGTGAAGGGAAATAGCACAGCCGTGCTGAGCAGTGAAGGCAAAGCGTGCTAACCCGCCCCGAGGCCACTTATGTATTCCTCCTGCCCCCACTTAGCTCACTCTCTGTTTCTCATGCACTTTATTTTTTTTTAATTTTTTTATTTTTATTTTATTTTTCTTTTTAGTTACATTTTGTTAACTCTGTGTCCCAGCTGTATCCCGCTCCCTCATTCCCTCTTCTCATGCACTTTAAACACAAGAGAGCAAGAGGGAAACAGGAACTCTGGGAATTTTCATCTTTCTTTATTACGAGATAACTGATTAGTGTTCTTCAGTCAGAAACTGTGACTGAATAAATGAGTTATTTCATGGACAGGCTATCTTTTCTTTGTATTTCATGCTTTGCATAGGCTGTAGAATACAGTCGGGGCTTACTCCTGATTTCTCTGGACATGACCATAAAAGTCTACTCATCGACAAAGATGCTACAAGTTCGCTGACTGGCATTATACACATTTGCCCCTTTGGTTGAACGAACTATTGCCTTTAACAAGATTTTCTACAGAGTGTCTCAAGCTGCTTCTTAAATCCTACTATTGATAATACAATAACTTTTGGCTTTCCAGATTATGCCGAAAACTTTGAATCCTCAGTGGAGGGAGCAATTTGATTTCCATCTCTATGAAGAAAGAGGAGGGATCATAGACATCACTGCCTGGGACAAAGATGCTGGGAAAAGGGATGATTTTATTGGAAGGTTTGTGAGACCTTAGATATGGCAAGTTTGTGTTGAAATAATATTTTCTGTAAATTTGGTTGTTGTCAACGATGTTTACCATTTTGAAAGAAGGAAACTTCCCGTTACAGCACAGCCTAAAACTGAAAAACATAGATTCAAAGAATGGCCAGTAGGTGGCAGCTTTGCCTAGTTGATGGACAGGCTATTCCAATTAGATACTCAGAGATTTTCTCCAGATGTCAGAATTACTGCGCACAAAAGTTATGGGAGTTGGAAAAGAGGAATTTCATCTGATATGGGACACTTATAGGAACAAAGAACACATTCACGGCTGGAAAATGACCTGCAGTAATGTCTGTTTTCACAAGGCACATTGTGACCGTAAAATGCATTATCTCCTACAACTCCCCACAAGAATCCTTGCAATCTCTTAGGAGTTCGTAAACCTGTAAAGAGTTCCAGAACTTTAGAAAAGGAAGAACACAGCTGAGGCAGAGCCATGTTAATCTGATAACACAACAAAATGCATTCCGAGGCTCGCATGACATTTCTCTACAAAGTCAAGGTTCCTTGGGTCGACTACTTGAATGATAGGAATTGTGTTCTGTTACAAAGCCTATGTTTATATTTTTTTGACAGTTACATATGTGCATTGTAGCAAAGTGTGTGGAAACTTGCCAGAGTGGAGAAAAGCAGGGTGTGCAGATGGGCTTGCCACTTCAAAGAATCTTTCTTCGCTGTTGTTCACAGGCATTCCAAGTCACTGAACTTACAATCCGAACAGAATTTATCCATTCCCAGAGTAAAGGGAACTTTAGTATAAAAGTGAAAACAGGAATCCGACCTATGATACTTGGCTCTTCATTTTGATTTAGATGGTTCTGACACACCTATTTAAGCAGTAGCTGTCACCATATGCTTGTAAAATAGAAGATGAGCTAAATTTCAGCTGACCATTCATACCTTACTTGTAAATAAAGTTGGGGACACAGCTGTGGTGTAATTCAGTCCTTTGAAAGCAGGGATCTGTGTTGCACTGTGCTCCTCAGGAAAAACACTGCCCTCAGAGCTTTCTGGGGTCCACTTGTAGTCTGCAGTGTCTCCCCCTAGCTTAAGGCAGCGTGTACCTGCAGTCTCAGAATCGCTTGACTGTGGCTGTGGATTTGATGTCATCTCTCCTTACCCTGTGATCTCATTCGGGGAGTTAGAATCCAGCTGCTCTGTGAACAGTCACTTCTTTTTCATAGTTTACAGCAACAATTTCTCTGGTTATCAGATAACAAAAGTGTAACCGCTCACTCAATACTTTATAGTCCAACTTTCTAGAAGGAAGAGGGCTGCACTCTAAAAACCCACTGGCTTCTGCTCTGGCTGCTGTCTACATGAAATTCTTCTTTTCCCTTTTCTGTTTTTATTTCATAATGACAAGCATCATTTGTGCACTTCTCCCTTTGGGGAGAATTTCCAACTTTGGATATTGCCAAATATTGCAGCCCATTTTATGACACTCCGAAGTTAGCCATCAGGCCCCCATCACCCAAGTCTGTTCTTCTTTCAGAGTTCTCCTCTGTTCTTTCCTAACACTAAAAATATCAGAGTCACCTTTTCCTTCTTTCTATCTTCTCACATTCATCAAACACAGCAGCAGACTGGTCTTTCATCAAGGCTATAGCCTGGATGAAACTAAGATCTCCCATGAGACTCACCTCTTTAAAAAAAATACATATTCTTCCAGCATCGAGCTGTAAGAGGAGCCTTCAACACACATAGACCTGCGGGAGCCCCTCATCAGCTCTGTCGCTGTAACTCCAGGTTGGCAACCGCCTGCTTTCATGAATAGCAGTAGGCTTTGCCATTTTTAAATCTCCTTTATTTGGGGTTCCTAATGTATCTTTCTTCCCATCCTCCTCAACCCCTTCTAGCACAAATGTGGAGTAGTATAGGTGGGTTTTGAGGGAGAACTATTTCCAGTTTTCTGAGAGAGTGCCAGATTGATTTCCAAAGTGGTTGTACAAGTTTACATTCCCACCAGCAATGGAGAAGGGGTTCCCCTTTCTCCACATCCCTGCTAGCATTTTTTTATCTAGCCATTCTGACCTGTGTGAGATAGAATCTCAGAGTCATTTTGATTTGCATTTCTGTGATGACTAATGAGCATTTCTTTCAGCATTTAAGACTCTTCTATAAATTCTCAGTTTAGCTCTGTACCCCATTTTTAACTGGATTATTTGATTTGTTAGTGTTTAATTTCTTAAGTTTTTTCCATATTTTGGATATCAGCCCTCTATCAGATGTAGGGTTGGTGAAGCTCTTTTCCCAATCTCTAGGCTGCCATCTTATTCTATTGACAGTGTTCTTTGACTTACAGTTTCATGAGGTCCCATTTCTTAATTGTTGATCTCAGAGCCTGTGCTGTTGGTGTTCTGATCAGAAAGTTGCCTCCTATGCCAATGAGTTCCAGACTTTACTCCACTTTGTCTTCTAATAGATTTAGAGTATCTGATTATTTGTCAAGGTCTTTGATCCACTTGGACTTGCGTTATGTGCAGGGTGATAAATATGAGTCTATTTGCATTTTTCTACATGCAGATATCCAGTTAGACCAGCACTATTTGTTGAAGATGCTTTATTTTTTCCATTGTATGGTTTTGTCTTCTTTGTCAAAAATCAAGGGTCCACAGAGTATGGGTTTATTTCTGACCTCATAAAGTATGTTTGCCAATGTTCCTTCTGTTTCTATTTTGTGGAATAGTTTGAGGAGTACTGGTATTATTTCTTCTTTGAGAGTTTGGTAGAATTCTGTTCTAGAACCATCTGGCCCAGGGCTCTTTTTCATTAGGAGGTTTTTTAATGAATGCTTCTATTTCCTTGGGGGTTATAGGTCTCTAAATTGTTAACTTGATCTTGATTTAACTTTGGTAAGTGGTATCTAACATAAAAATTATTCATTTCCTTCATATTTTCCAGTTTTGTGGTGTATAGGTTTTTGAAGTACAATCTAATGATTTTTGGATTTCCTCAGTGTCTGTTGTTATATGCCCCTTTTCATATTTGATTTTATTAATTTAGATATTCTCCCTCTGTCTTTTAGTTAGTTTGGTTAAGGGTTTATCTGTCTTGTTGATTTTTCTCAAAGAACCAGTTCTAAGTTTTGTTGATTCTTTGTACTTGTCTCTTTGTTTCTAGGTTATTGATTTCAGCCCTGGGTTTGATTATTTCCTACTGTCATACTCTTGGGTGTGTTTGCTTCCTTTTTTCTAGAGCTTCCAGGTGAGCTGTTAAATAGCTAGTAAGAGCTCTCTTCACTTTCTTTATGAAGGCACTTAGCGCTTTGAACTTTCCTCTTAGCACTGCTTACATTGTGTCTCATAAGTTTGGGTATGTTGTGCTTTTATTTTCATTCAGTTCTAGAAAGTCTTTAATTTCTTTCTTTATTTCCTTCCTGACCCCTTAGTTATTAATCAGAAAGTTGTTCAGTTTCCATGATGTTGTAGGCATTCTGTTGTTTCTATTGTTGTTGAAGTCTACTTTTAATCCATGGTGGTCTAATATAAAACAAAGTGTTATTTCAGTTTTCTTCTATTTGTTGAGATTTGTTTTGTGTCTGAATATGTGGTCAAATTTGGAGAAGGTTCCATGAAGTGCTGAGAAGAAGGTATAGACTTTTGTGTTTGGATGGAATGTTCTGTAGATGTTTGTCCAGCTGACTCATAATGTTGGTTTGTTTCATTATTTCTGTTTAGTTTCCATCTCAATGACCTGTCCGTTGGTGAGAAAGATGAAGCCTCATACTGTTGAGGTGGAGTTCGATGTGTGATTTAAGCTTTAATGTTTACAAATGTGGGTGCCCTTGTACTTGGGGCATAAGTGTTCAGAATTGAGACATCATCTTGGTTGATTTTTCCTTTGATGAGTATGAAGTGAACTTCCCCATCTCTTTTAATTAATTTTCATTGAAAGTCTATTTTATTAGAAATTACAATAGCTACTTCAGCTTGCTTCTTGTGTCTGTGTGCTTGAAAAACCTTTTTCCATCCCTTTGTTCTGTGGTAATGTCTATCGTTGTTGTTGAGGTTTGTTTCTTGTATGCAACAGAATGATGGGTCCTGTTTACTCTCCCATTCTGTTAGCCTGTGTTTTAGTTTTGTTGGGGAGTTGAAGCCATTGATGTTGAGAGATATTAAAGAGCAGTTGTTATTTCCTGTTATTTGGATGTTGGTGGTGGAAGAGTGTGTGTGTGTGTGTGTGTGTGTGTGTGTGTTATGTGTGCCTCCCCCCTTTTGGTTTTGCTGTTGTAGGATTATTTATTTCTGTTGTTTCCCTGGGTGTGATTAGCCTCCTGGTGTTGGAATTTTCCCTCTACCATCTTCTGTAGGGCCAGGTTTGTGAATAGGTATTGTTTAAATTTGCTTTTGTCATGAAATATCTTGTTTCTATGATGATTAAAAGTCTTTCATGGTATAGTAGTCGGGGCTGATATCTGTGGTCTCCTGTGTCTATAAGATATCTGCCCAAGCCCTTTTGGAGTTTACAGTAAGAAGTCAGGTGGAATTCTGAATTGTCTGCCCCTCTATGTGACTTGGCCTTTTTCCCTTACAGCTTTTAATATTCTTTCTTTGTTTTGTACATTTAGTGTTTTGATTATTATGTGACAAGAGAATTTTCTTTTCTAGTCCAATCTATTTGCTGTCCAAGTCTCTTGCATGTTTATAGGCCTCTCTTTCTTTAAGGTTGGGGAAATTTTCTTCTACGATTCTGCTGAAAACATTTTCTGGGCCTTGAAGCTTACAGTCGTCTCCTTCTTAGGTTTTGTCTTTTCATGTTGTTCCAGATTTCTTAAATGTTTTGTATCAGGAACTTTTTAGATTTAACATTTTCTTTGACTGATGTATCGATTTCTTTAATCATATCTTCTACACTTGAGATTCTGTCTTTCTTCTCTTGTATTTCGTTGGTGATGCTTTTTGTCTGTAGTTCCTGCTCTCTCCCCTAAGTTTTCCGTTACTAGGATTGCCTCA